TGGGCACCAAATATTTTGAGCCTTAAAATCTTTTTTCTAAAAACCATGAACCAGACCACGTTACAACCTTCAAAAGTCCTAATTGAAGCAAGGTTATTTTGAAAGCATACTTCAATGAGATAGTGTTCCTGACTCCCATGAATGTTCTAAATAGTTATGTTGGTATCATATGTTTTTCCTATACAAAAATAAATGGTGCTTTAGCTCGCAAAATTTGTGCGATATCTTTCAAAATCTTCAAGACTTACATAACTGTTGCATTAGAATTTTCATTCTCATTGTAAACTTTTTCTAACTGCAAAACATTTGTTTGATATCAAGGAAGCTCACATAAGCACCAGTGATGAGTTTATTCTTTTAAGGTTTGAAACTATGTTGAATAATTGGCGGATCACGTCAAGAAAAAAATCATATTCAAGGGCATGTCACATGAAGACCTTAAGCACGAACATGTCGCTTCTCCTAGTTAATGTTTTCCCAACTTGTTTACTCTTTTGGGGCAAAATTTGAAGACTTTGTTGTGCCAACTACAGTCAATCCGGGGCCATCACATCGAGATTTGATGAATCTCTCTAAGAGTTTGAAGACACCAGAGCATGGTGAATGCCAGGTCTTTTGTAAAATCCTCTTGAGACGATTTCTCCTCATCAACCAGATAGCTTGGGGCATGTTAGAAGTGAAGCTATTCGCAAGAATTGTCGTGCAACATGCAGCTCATCAGCAGTAAACTTGGGGCATCTAAAATTAGTCCCAGGGGCAATCCAGATTTATCAAGATATGTTTTTCATACATTATCAGAGGGTGGTGTTCCCAGTATCTCCAGCTAAGCATGACTTTTTCCAGCTGAAGCATTGTTCGTGTTGTTATCCTTTCAATGAATTGTCGACAATAGAAGACTGGACTTTGGGTTTTCTACCTGAAAATATCTTCCTCTCCAGAGATATTTAAGCCTTGTAAAAGGACCTTGCTCCAATGATGGCCTGTGTTTTATCTCCAGTAAGGTTCCCATCATGTTGAGATTAGCCGAGTGTCAAGCTGTGCTATGACGTCTTATCATCTTCAGTCTATCTCCCCTGTCTGTTTTGTCAGCATATACATGACATTCATTTATTCATTCACACTTGCATCATGCACGCACAATTGTATTTGTTGATGTCATTGAAGTTCGTATACCTTGGTTATGTCTATTCAAATAGTGTATTTGATCTTTCCAAATAGAGTGTCAACTTAAGCAGAAAGTGCGCCTCCTTCCTAATTCCCCACTGAGTTAACTCTCGTGGAAGAATCTTGCTTTAGCTTTCCTTTTCCATCTCTGGATAAGATAAATCCCCATTTGAGTTGTTTCCGCATTGGATGGAGTCTTGTTTGACTGTTTTCTCTCCAGTTTATTCCCGGATTGAGCTGTGTCTCTTGTGAACGATACCCTGTGAATATCTCTAGGCTGTGAAACCTAGATGGAGAGTGCATTTATTTTGCAATGTAAATACTTGGTCTCCTCAAGAAGGATTTACTCATGGTTCCCCATTGGAGATGAACTTTATTCCTCAGCAGTGTTATCACAACCTTATTCTGGAATATCGACATGACAACAAGCGACTGACTCTTTATTTGAGCAGTTTGATTATTTCTGATTTCTCTATGACAAATGGCGGTCTCTTCATGAGCAGTTTGTCCATCCCCAATGAAATTATTGGTTCTCACCTCCAGCAATATCTTCACGGTATTTTATGGGTATCTTTTTGGGAAACAGCAAGCGGCAGTCTCTTCATGAGGCAACTTGTGTGTTATGGATACTCTTGACAAACAACAAGCGGCGGTCTCTTCATGGGAAACTTGTATGTTATTGTCACCTTTGAAAACATCAAGCGGCGGTCTCTTCATGAGCAACTTGTATGTTATTGATACCTTGAAAGAAAACAACAAGCAACAGTCTCTTCATGAGCAACTTGTTTGTTATTGTCACCTTTGAAAACAGCAAGCGGCGGTCTCTTCATGAGCAACTTGTATGTTATTGGTAATTTTGAAAAGAAAACAACAAGCGGCGGTCTCTTCATGAGCAACTTGTGTGTTATTGGTAATTTTGAAAAGAAAACAACAAGCGGCGGTCTCTTCATGAGCAACTTGTGTGTTATTGGTAATTTTGAAAAGAAACAGCAAGCGACAGTCTCTTCATGGACAACTTGTATGTTATCAACACTTTTAAAAACAGCAAACGGCAGTCTCTTCATGGACAACTTGTATATTATCAACACTTTTTTTGAAAACGGCAAGTGGCAGCTTCTTCATGAGCAACTTGTACGTTAGTATTTTTGGAAGACAGCAAGTGGAAGCTTATCTATTTGAGCAACTTGCGTGTTATTGTTCCCTTGAAAATAGCGAGTGGCAGCTTCTTTATGAGCAGCTTGTGGATTATTCGCAACAAGTGGCAGCTCTTCATGAGCAGCTTGTGGGTTATAAGCAACAAGTGGCGGACTCTTCATGAGTAGCTTGTGTGCTTTAATATTCTTTGAAGATGGCAAGTGGAAGCTCTTCATGAGCAGCTTGTGAGTTATTGGCAACAAGTGGCGGACTCTTCATGAGTAGCTTGTGTGTTTTAATATTCTTTGAAGACAGCAAGTGGCAGCTCTTCATGAGTAGCTTGTGGGTTTTTGGCAACAAGTGGCGGTCTCTTCATGAGCAGCTTATGTGCTTTAATATTCTTTGAAGACAGCAAGTGGCGGTCTCTTCATGAGCAGCTTGTATGTTATTGACACCTTTGAAAGGAAACAAGTGGCGGCCTCTTTATTCGAGCAGCTTGTATCCCCAACAATAATGTCTACTCAGCAAATGGCATCCCTTTCGGAAAAGTCCCGTGGGGAAGTTTGTTATTTTATCCTTTTCAAGCGATATCTTGGTTAGAGAAGAAATGTGTTACCGTTCTTGGTAAAATTCAGAAATCAGAGATGTTTATCTCCAGCCACAGTGCTGATGTCAATCATTTTGTTTTCCAGCCACAGTGCTGATGTCAATCATTTTGTTTTCCAGCCACAATGCTGATGTAAATCATTTCATTTTCCAGTCTCAGTACTGATGTCCATCATTTTCATTTTCCAGTCTCAGTACTGATTTCCATCATTTTCATTTTCCAGTCTCAGTACTGATGTCCATCATTTCCTTTTCCAGTCACAGTGCTGATGTCAATCATTTTCCAGTCTCAGTACTGATGTCCATCATTTCCTTTTCCAGTCACAGTGCTGATGTAAATCATTTCTTTTTCCAGTCTTCGTACTGATGTAAATCATCTCTTTTCCAGTCTCAACACTGATGTAAATCATTCAAGAGTCTCTCATTTGAAGTCTATGACTTTGTTTCCCCAGTGGAGTTACAACCTCTTCCTCTGTGGGATTACTGTATAATGTGCTTGGTTTCTCCAGCATAGTCTGCCTCATATGGCGTCATTCCCCATAAAATTCAGAGCATTACATTCATATCATATCATGAACATAATCGCGGTATCTTAAGGCCAAAAATTGTGTATTCTATATTTAAGTCCCTTCAATCTCGTCGAAATGAAGATCCCAATCTTCATATCTCCAGATAGAAGAAACTTAAATAGGGGCAGCTGTTGTACCCCAATTTTTGACCTAAGATCCCATTTTTATTTTTGCATTTTTTAAGATAAGTCAAGGTCACGAAATACAGTCGGTTTTAACCTCTCACTTTCAAGCATTGACTATGCGAAGATTGTCAAGTGTTTTGAACATTTTGAGCCTATGTATCACTAATTTCTAATCGCATACAAAGGTGTATGTTCATGTTTTCTTTTGTTCCATGTGCAGAGACAGGTCTTAATCAAGAGAATCAGGTGTCGCGCCTCAATTAAGGTTTTGAGTCTCCCAAGCCAAAAGTACGGTTGATTATGGATTCTCGAAGACTGATTCATCAAGGCACACCGTTGCACCCTTAATTTCGCCCCTAATTTTTTCAGTCGCACATTCATACCATATTCTGTCATTTGGTCACAATCATTAGTAAATATCTTCATTCATCACATTTTGCATCATTAGTCGTATTTAAGTTGACCAGAAAAGTCAGTTTAAATCAAAGTTTGCATCGTCCTTCAGTTGTAAAATACCCGACATTTCACTTCATTCATTTTTATTTGATTACTATTTTCTTGCACTGCTCCAAGTTGTTTATATGTTGATAATAAAAATATTTTGGTTTTATAGACAAACTGTTAAAAAACGATTCAACAATGTGCGAAAATTAATGAGAAAAAAATACTTCAAGTTTTCACCTTTTACCGATCATTTTATGAATCTGCGTTTCGCTTAGATTATGACGGTATGCTCGCTTTGTTTTTTCGGTACAGTTCGAAGTCTTGTTTTTAACCTTAAACGTCTGTTTAGTCTGATATTTTTATTATTATTTTATTTTTTATTTTTTGACTTCTTGAATATTTTTTCTTTAATCTTTGTGACATGTAGATTATTTTAATGTGTTCATTTTATTTTTTGGATAAATTTTCGTCCGTTTTTTATCATTTTCGGTCATTTTGGGTCTTTATTTTTTATTCATAAAATATTCGAAAAAATCATTTTAAATTGAGTTAATTTTAATACATTTAGTTTTTTGGTTATTTTTATCATTTAAGGACTATTTGATCACAAAATATATTATTTACACCTTGCTCTATTTCTATTGGTCAATAGCATAAGTTACGGATAGATGCAGATTTAACAATTTTGGACGGATCGGATTTAATCTGTAATCATAATATTTCCATTCTTTTTCTCTATTTAAAGGTCATTATTTTCATTGTTCAAGGGGGGAACGAAAAAACAAATAACAACACAAACTCCCTCCTCTCTTCAAACAACAACTTTCCCTTTTTTCTCTCTCTTTTTCCATTCTAACCGTAAAACCCTCCCCCCTCAGCTCTCAAATCTCAGATCTACAATCTATCCCTCACACAAGCATTCCACAGGGTTATAGTTGGAAGAAAGAAAAAAGGAAAAATGGCGCCAAGTGTTCTATCCTCTGTAACTGCATTTCGCGTTCTCACCGTAGTCCTTCTCTTGCTACCTTCTATCTCCGCCGGTCACGACTACCACGATGCTCTCCATAAGAGCATTCTCTTCTTCGAAGGACAACGCTCTGGAAAACTCCCCGCTGATCAGAGACTCCGTTGGCGCCGTGAGTCCGGAATGCACGACGGAGCAACTGCCGGAGTAGACTTGACCGGTGGTTATTATGATGCTGGCGACAATATAAAGTTCGAATTTCCAATGGCGTTCACCACGACGATGCTATCATGGAGCGTAATCGATTTCGAGAAAGTAATGGGACCTGAGCTTGGGAACGCGTTGAAGTCAGTTCGATGGGGAACGGGTTATCTCTTAAAGGCGACGTCGAAGATAGGCTCCGGCGTGGTGTTTGTTCAGGTCGGCGATCCTTTATCGGACCATAACTGCTGGGAGAGACCGGAGGACATGGATACTCTCCGCACAGTTTTCAAGATCGACGGGTCTCACCCAGGCTCTGACGTGGCAGGTGAAACCGCCGCTGCACTCGCTGCTGCTTCCATCGTCTTCAAATCACGTGAATCCCCACAAGATGCAAGGTTTGTTTTGAACCTCTTGCGTTTAATGAACACAATCCATCATGAAAATCTTGCCTTTAACCTCTCTGTTACTTCGTATAATAAACTTCTTATGCTTTTGTCGCATTTTGGTTTGGTTGATGAGTTGAATTGTTTGTTTAAGGAAATGTTGGATGATGGGGTTTTGCCTAATTTGATTACTTTTAATACTATGCCGAATTTTCATTGTAAGCTGGGGAATATGGTTGTGGGAAAGGTTTATTTTTGTGGATTAATAAAGAGTGGTTTTTGTTGTGATACCTTTACTTATACTTCGTTGATATTGGGTTATTGTAAAAAATCATGAATTGAAGAATGCTTATAAGGTGTTTGAGATTATGCTGGAGGTATATTTTAAGCACATTAGACATGATTTATTTATTGATTTTGTATGGTTTTTGAATGAATACTGTGACAATATCAATTTTATTTGGTTTGTGTTGAAGTGCCTGATTGGTTTAGTTGTGTTGATATTTTTTTGATGTATCCTTCGGCGTGAAATTATGTATTCACGTTAGTTCCAAAATGAGAATATGCTACTTTTCAAATAATATTAGGATTTACCATTAAAAAAAAAAAATTAGTAAATCTTATAATTAATTTAGTTTAATGTTAATTTAGAATTCTTTAATTAGTTTAGATTTATTTTATAACTTTAGAATTTTATTTCATTTAGTAAATTTTAGAATTTTATTTGTTTTAGTTTAGTTTAATAACTTTAAAATTTTATTTGATTTTATTTAAGTTAACTTTAGAATTTTATTTGTTTAGTTTTAGTTTAATAACTTTAGAATTTTATTTGATTTTATTTAGTTAACTTTAGAATTTTATTTGTTTAGTTTTAGTTTAGTGACTTTAGAGTTTTATTTGATTTAGAATTAGTTTAATAAGTTTATAATTTTTATTTAGTTTAATAACTTTAGAGTTTTTATTTGATTTAAATTTAGTTTAGTAGTTTTAGAATTTTATTTGATTTAGATTTAGTTTAGTAATTTTGGAATTTTCATTTGTTTTAGATTTAATTTAGTAACCTTAGGATTTTAATTTAATCTAGATTTAACTTACTAAATTTTAAAACTTTAGTTTAGTTTAGATCAAATTCAATAATACTAGATTTTTTTTTAACCTTAGAATTTGTAATTAGTTTAGAATTATTTTAGTAAGTAATTTTTAATTTAGTTCGAATAACTTCTTTAGATAATTAGTTATATTCCTTTTTATTTGTATATTTCTGTCATTTCAATTTCTCGGTGCCTCTTGGTCATTAATCCGTTTTGTTATATTTATTTTCTTGTGAATTTTGGTTGCTTATATTTTGATGTCTATTTTATTTTGCTCGCTCGATTTAATCCAAGGGAAATTTTTCAACTCAGCTGACTTCATGTCATCAAGTACATCTTCTACAATTGTGCGAATACCCTCATTCATTTTTTGCTTGTTTACTATTTTTCCAAACTTAAGATAATTCTCCCAAAAGACTCCATTTTTAAACTCACACCTTTTAAGTCAAAACTTCGACACTAGGTCGTCGTATCTTCAAAATCTCTCCAACACCGATTTTCTGCCAAACGAACCATTTTTAATCAAACAAACAATTTTAACCAAAAACAGATATTTCAAAAGGTTCCTGCGGAGTACCGCAGATGCATTGGGTGCTAATACCTTCCCATTGTATAACCAACCCCCAAACTCTCGATCTCTTTTAAAAACGCATTGTATTTTCATTACTTTTAAGTATTATTTTACATTGCATATTTTAGGGTTTTATTTCGCACTTTTCCCTTTTCCCTTGGAAATAATAAAGCGCGGTGGCGACTCTTGCTTTTGCGAGTCAAGTTAATTAATAGCTTGATCTCCGATTTTCACTGCTACAATCCTCAATATCATTGTTAGGTGTGCTGTTTTGTCCTCTGGTTTATTGATGTTTCGCCATTTTATCCATGTTATCTTGCCATCTTATAGCCGATGTTTCACCATCGCATATTCTTTTGCCGATGCTTCGCCATCGCACATTCTTTTAGCTGATGTTTCGCCATCGCACGTGTTTGTTATCCTACTTTGATCCTCAATATCATTGTTAGGTGTGATGTTTTATCCTCTGGTTTATTGATGTTTCACCATCTTTGCCATGTTATCTTGCAATCTTTTAGCCGATGTTTCGCCATCGCATATTCTTTTGTCGATGCTTCTCCATCGCACATTCTTTTAGCAGGTGTTTATCCTTCACACAGGTTTGTTATCCTACTTTGATCCTCAATATCATTGTTAAGTGTGATGTTTTATCCTCTTGTTTATTGATGTTTCGCCATCTTTGACATGTTATCTTGCCATCTTTTAGCCGATGTTTCACCATCGCATATTCTTTTACCGATGCTTCGCCATTGCATATTCTTTTAGCCGTTGTTTCTCCATCGCATATTCTTTTTCCGATGCTTCGCCATTGCACATTCTTTTAGCCGATGCTTCACCATCGCACATGTTTGTTATCCTACTTTTAACCTTAATATCATTGTTAGGCGTGATGATTTGTCCTCTGGTTTATTGATGTTTCGACATCTTTGCCATGTTATCTTGCCATCTTTTAGCCGATGTTTTGCCTTCGCATATTCTTTTGCCGATGCTTTGCCATCGCAGATTCTTTTAGCTGATGTTTCGCCATAGCACATGTTTGTTATCCTACTTTGATCCTCAATATCATTGTTAGGTGTGATGTTTTGTCCTCTGGTTTATTGATGTTTCTCCCTCTTTTCCATGTTATCTTGCCATCTTTTAGCCGATGTTTCACCAACGCATATTCCTTTGCCGATGCTTCTAAATTGCACATTCTTTTAGTCGATGTTTCACTATCGCACATGTTTGTTATCCTACTTTGATCCTCAATATCATTGTTAGGTGTGATGTTTTGTCCTCTGGTTTATTGATGTTTCGCCATCTTTTCCATGATATCTTACCATCTTTTAGCCGATGTTCCACCATCGCATATTCCTTTGCTGATGCTTCTCCATTGCATATTATTTTAGCCTATGTTTCGCCATCGCACATGTTTGTTATCCTACTTCGATCCTCAATATCATTGTTAGGTGTGATGTTTTGTTCTCTAGTTTATTGATGTTTCACCATCTTTGCCATGTTATCTTGCCATCTTTTAGCCGATGTTTCGCCATCGCATATTCTTTTTCTGATGTTTCACCGTTACACATTCTTTTTGTCGATGTTTCACCATCGCACATGTTTGTTATCCTACTTTGATCCTTAATATCATTGTTTTGTGTGATGTTTTGTCCTGTGGTTTATTGATGTTTTGCCATCTTTTCCACGTTATCTTGCAATCTTTTATCCGATGTTTCACCATCGCATATTCTTTTGCCGATGCTTCGCCATCGAACATTCTTTTAGCCGAAGTTTCGCCATCACACATGTTTGTTATCCTATAGTAATCCATAATATCATTGTTAGGTTTGATGTTTTGTCATCTGGTTCATTGGTGTTTCGCCATCTTTTTCGTCTTATCTTACCATCTTTTAGCCGATGTTTTGCCATCGCGTATTCTTTTACCGATGCTTCTCCAATGCACATTCTTTTAGCCGATGTTTCGCCAACACATATTCTTTTGCCGATGCTTCTCCATCACATATTCTTTTAGCCGATGTTTCACCATTACACATGTTTGTTATCCTACTTTGATCCTTAATATCATTGTAAAGTGTGATGTTTTGTCCTCTGGTTTATTTATGTTTCGCCATCTTTTCCATGTTATCTTGTCATCTTTTAGTCGATGTTTCGCCATCGCATATTCTTTTGCCGATGTTTCTCCATTTCACATCCTTTAACCGATGTTTCACCATGGCACATGTTTGTTATCCTACTTTGATCCTCAATATCATTGTTAGGTGTGATGTTTTGTCCTCTGGTTTGTTGATGTTTCACCATCTTTCCCATGTTATCTTGCCATCTTTTAGCCGATGTTTCGCCATCGCGTATTCTTTTTCCAATGCTTCCCTGTCACACATTCTTTAAGCCGATGTTTCACCATCGCACATGTTTGTTATCCTACTTTGATCCTTAATATCATTGTTTTGTGTGATGTTTTGTCCTGTAATTTATTGATGTTTCGCCATCTTTTCCATGTTATCTTGCAATCTTTTATCCGATGTTTCAACATCGCATATTCTTTTGCCGATGCTTCGCCATCGCACATTCTTTTAGCCGAAGTTTCGCCATCACACATGTTTGTTATCCTACTTTGATCCTCAATATCAATGTTAGGTTTGGTGTTTTTTCATATGGTTTATTGATGTTTCGCCATCTTTGCCATGTAATCTTACCATCTTTTAGCCGATGTTTTTCCATCGCATATTCTTTTACTGATGCTTCTCCATTGCATATTCTTTTAGCCGATGTTTGGCCAACACATATTCTTTTGCCGATGCTTCGCCATCACATATTCTTTTAGCCGATGTTTCGCCATCGCATATGTTTGTTATCCTAATTTGATTCTCAATATCATTGTTAGGTGTGAAGTTTTGTCCTCTGGTTTATTGATGTTTTGCCATTTTTGCCATGTTATCTTGCCATCTTATAGCCGATGTTTCACCATCGCATATTCTTTTGCCGATGCTTCACCATCACATATTCTTTTAGCTGATGTTTCGCCATCGCACGTGTTTGTTATCCTACTTTGATCCTCAATATCATTGTTAGGTGTGATGTTTTGTCCTCTGGTTTATTGATGTTTCACCATCTTTGCCATTTTATCCTGCAATCTTTTAGCCGATGTTTCACCATCGCATATTCTTTTGTCGATGCTTCTCCATCGCACATTATTTAAGCAGGTGTTTCTCCATCGCACATGTTTGTTATCCTACTTTGATCCTCAATATCATTGTTAGGTGTGATATTTTATCCTCTTGTTTATTGATGTTTCGCCATATTTGACATGTTATCTTGCCATCTTTTAGCCGATGTTTCACCATCGCATATTCTTTTACGAATGCTTCGCTATTGCATATTCTTATAGCCGTTGTATCTCCATCGCATATTCTTTTGCCGATGCTTCGCCATTGCACATTCTTTTAGCCGATGCTTCACCATCGCACATGTTTGTTATCCTACTTTTAACCTTAATATCATTGTTAGGCGTGATGATTTGTCCTCTGGTTTATTGATGTTTCGCCATCTTTGCCATGTTATCTTGACATCTTTTAGTCGATGTTTCGCCTTCGCATATTCTTTTGCCGATGCTTTGCCATCGCAGATTCTTTTAGCTGATGTTTCTCCATCGCACATGTTTGTTATCCTACTTTGATC